GCACTGTTCATCATTTCAACCCATTCATAACCCATTCCAACCATCAGAATCATGCCAGGGCACCTCGTTTTTGTAACCCTAACCCTACCCTGGTGCCCACCCCTAACCCTAATGGAGGGTGAAAGTTCCATTGCAAAGAGGGCGATTTCGAAATAGCCTTCCTTGAGTAGCTTTTTCTGCACTGCTCAACCTTTGTGCCCATTTTAACCCATTCCAATTGTCAGGATCATGGCAAGACCTCTCATTTTTCTAACCCTAACCCTACCCTGGTGCACACTCCTAACCCTAATATAGGGGGAACTTACATTGAAACGTGGGCGATTTTGAAAAAGCCTCCTTTGAGTACCTTTTTCTGCACGGCTAATCATTTCTGCCTGTTCTAAACACTTTACAACCATCCAAACCATGCCAGGGCACCTTCTTTTTCGAACCCTTCCTTTGTGTCCCCCCCCAACCCCAATACAGGGCAAAAGTGCCATAGGAAAGAGGGCGGCTTTGAAACAGCCTTCCTTGAGTTATTTTCTTCACTGTGTAATATTTCTGCTCTTGCTAAACATATTCCAACCGTCAGAATTATGCCAGGACACCTCTTTTTTCTAACCACAACCGTATACTGGTGCACACCCCCTACCCTAATACAGGGCAAAAGTTCCATTGAAGAGGGCAGGTCTGAAAAAGCGTTCGTTGAGTAGCTTTTTCTGCACTGCTCTATATTTCTGTCCATTCTATATACATTGCAACCCTCAGAATAATTCCAGGACCCCGCATTCTTGTAACCCTAACCCTACCCTGGTGCACACCCCTAACCCTAATAGAGGGTGAAAGTTCCATTGAAAGGAGGGTGATTTTGAAGAAGCCTTCCCTGAGTTGTCTTTTCTGCACTGCTCAGCATTTCTGCCCATTCTAAACACGTTCCAACCATCACATCCTAGATACCTAGTTTTTCTTACCCTGACCTTACCCTGGTGCACAACCCTAACCGAATTACAGCGCGAATGTCCCATAGAAAATAGGGTGGTTTTGAAAAAGCCTTCATTGAGTAACTTGTTCTGTACTCCTCAACATTTCTGCCCGTGATAAACACATTCCAACCGTCAAAATCATACCAGAACACCATGTTTTTCTAACTCTTAACACAGTGATGGTGAACCTTTTTGAGACCGAGTACCCAAACTGCAACCTAAAATCCATTTATCTATTGTAAATTGTCAACACTGCAATAAAATCTGTAAACTGAGGTTTCCCTTCAGGAAAAACAACTCAGAGCCTGTCCAATCAAATATATATATATGCTTGGTCACCACTGACTGTACCTGCAAAAGCTCAGACTATTCTTGCCTAATGAGTCGCGGCCTGTGATGTCATCACCTGGCGCCGCAACTCCTTTCCGAGCATGCACATGGCCCCTGTGCGCGCCGTTATCTGACGCTCGCCTTTGGGGCGATGCTGGGGCAGCTTGGCTCACGTGCCAACCGAGAGGGTTCTGGGTGCCCGCTGTGGCACGCGTGCCCTACGTTCGCCACCACTGGGTCAGATCCTTTCCAGGCAGTTGCCTGGTTTGTGTGGCATCCTCCTTTACATCCATTTTCAAGCCAGGTTTAGAATCCACCTGCAGAAAGTTTCCCTCCCATGTGAAGGAACCCACATGCCCGCAGAAGAGCAGGGGTGCAACTGTGCCAGCCCCTTCCCAACCCCCGATCCTGGGGAGGCAGTTTCCCGTGTGGCCCGTGTTGGGAAACGGGTGTGGGAACAGCAGAGCCCTCTCACTGTGAGGGCCTGGCGGGATCCCCTGGCTGCTTGATGGTAAAGCTGCCCTGAACTTTGCCATTGCCTCCCCACTGAGCCGGAGGAGCAGGAGCTGTCGGGGGCCCCAGTTGCGCCCGCACACAGCGGGCTGTTTAGGGATTCTTCCCACCATGTTGCGGGCTTCCTTTTGAATGCTCCGTTGGGGCCTCCCGCAGCGTGTCACCTCTCTTTGTTGTGGGTGGGCCTGTCCTGCTCCCGGAGTGTGACGGACCCGGGCCAACTGAGCGATGGCAGAAGTTTTGCCCTGCCCTGTCAGGCTCAGTCCAAGGGCGCCTGCAGGCTCCCGAACTCAGAGGCGTCCGCTGCAGAGCAGGAGAGTCGTGGCGACGTTCCTCGCTCTGCTTGTTCTGCAAGCTGGGGTGTCTCGGGGAGGGAGGGAGGCTGGAGCGGGTTGGGGGTCATGCCCTTCCTTTTCTGGGCTTCTCCGTGTCACCTGGAACCCCTTCCCTCCCCTGAGTCCCTTCCCTGCCCTTGGGGGGATGCAAGTGGACATGCGGGGGGGGGGGAGTTGCCAGTCACGTCTCTGAGGATGGACCCATGCTCCTACTCGTGGCTCTGGGCACCCAAACTAGCCCCCCCCCCGCGCTTCCTCGGGGCCGTCAGATGGCTCCCCGCGTGGCTTGCAAGGGTCATACAGTTACGCTTCGCTCAGGAACAATTTTGTGTTGCTGTATTCTTTGCTTGCACGCTGCCCTAAATCCTTCAAGGATAAAAGGCAGGGCAAACAGGTTTTAAAATAAGATAGCAAGTGAGTAAAGACAGATGCAGTAAAGGGCAATCTCCTAAGTCCAAATAAAATACTACTTACGGGAGGGTGCTGTGGCAGCCGGAGTCCCAGGGCTGGACGTCAGCAGCAGTAAGGCAGCCGTGTCCCGATCGAGGCCTCTCTGGGGGAGCTGAACGGGGTGGTGGTGAATTCCTGCCATTCCGTGTCCGAAATCAGGGGCTTCCCAGCAGTATGAAAATGTGGGCACAGGGAGGTTCCGGGATCCAGGCACTCGGCTGGGGCTGCGCTGTGGCTGCCAAGGAAGCCCGTTACTCTTAGCTTAGGGCTCTTGTGAATGGCTCATCACGGATGTCCTTTCTCTCCTCCAGATTCCTCAGAAGGTCCCAAGGCAAGCAAGCTGGTGAGTACTTTGTCCTTGCGCTTTATGAGAAATGGTTCCTTCCATGTCCGTCTTCAGGTCTGAAGGAGAGGAAACCGTGCCCAGGCCGCCAGGGCTTGGCATTGGCTCTTCTGCAGCTGGGCCTGCGGAGGGGCAGGGCTCACCCGCCAAGCGTGTCCTTGCAGTCCGGCCTCGGCAACCTGAGAAACAAACCCGAGCGGAGTGACCGGTGCCGGGCACGCCTGCCGCGGTGTCTCCCGCCAGACCGCTGGCTCAGGTTGCCCAGTTGTGGCTGAGCGGTCCTGAGTGTGGCGTGTGGGGCAGCGGTCGCCCACTTGGCTGGGGCGGGGAAACGGGTCGGGCTCAGCAGCCGCTGGCGCTCGGCTCTGCCTCTCCCTCTGCCATCCGAGCGCCTTCAGCTTCCCGCCAGATACTTCTGCTTGGGTTTCATGGCCGTTTCGAGCCCCGCGGTTTGACTATATAAAAAGATAGTCAGGCTTGTGTCCCTTTTGAATTGGTGAGACTTTAGTTATTACCTGTTACGCCAATTCTGGGGAAACCTAAAATGGGATCTTGTGGCTTGGTGTGTTTTGTTTGCTTTTATTTGCATTTTAATTGTTTTCTTCTTTCTTGTAAACCACACTAGGCGTATGCATAGAGGTGCTATAAGAAATAGATAACTGAGCATTTGTAGGTCCAGGATGGAGTTTCTCCCAAGCCCCTCCTCTCGGTTCTCCCTGTTGGCAACACTGTCCCCTGTCCTGTGGGGGGGCCTTTCCTTTGCTCCCCCCTTCTCCTCCATGCCTCCTATTTGATTCCCCATCTGACCCAGAGCCGGGTTGTGCTGATTCTCTGCAGCAGAGCAGCTCTGCCTCTCCATGTCTGCCAGGAAGACTCTGGTTCATGCTCTGCTCGCCCCCCCCGCGACTTCTGCGCCCCTCTCTCCTCCCTCCTCGGCCTTCTGGGGACGCTCCCCGCACCTCTGTACGAACCCTCCGGCTCCCCCCTCCCTCTGGCCAGCGCACGCTGCCCTCGCCCCGCACTGGACCTGGCACGAGCCCCGTTGGCCTGGCGCGCCTCCGCAGCGCATGTCCCCCGTGCTGCGGCCTGTGGCCTCGCCGCCCGCCCCCCAGCCCTCCGGAGCACTGCTGCTCCCTCACCCTTCCCCGCTCTCAGCGGCCCCCGAATGCCCCCTGGGGCTTCTGCGCAAGACCCGCCTGTGAAACCTTTGCCGCCCCCCCCCCCCCCCCCGCCGGCTCCGAGCCCGTTCTGAGCGGGTCTGGTTTGCGCTGCAAGTGAAGGCGCTGCATTGTCCTCTCGATGCACGTGCCCCTCTGCCCTCTGCTCTGCCTCCTTGTGTCCTCCAGCTGCTTTGCGCACCTGCGCGCAGCCCTGACCGCGGGCAGCTGGGGAAGGCATGCTCGGTGCGGGGCCGGGGTTGCTGTCCTCCCGCTCCCGGCCTTGGGCTTCCGCCCCTTCCGCTGCTGCCCGGCTCGCCTCTCTTCCCCACATTTCCGTCCGATTTGCCCCCCCGGCCACTGGCCGAGGTGCCTTCTCCCGTCGCTCCGTGGCTGCTTTCTCGTGAGAATGAGGTGGGTGAGGGCGGGCAGGTGCCGCTGCCTCCCGCCCCACCCTGCCCAGAAGGGCTCCTGCCCGCGTCCTGCGTTGCTCACTGGCAGTCTGGCTTAGTCCATTGCTCCACCAGATGTCAGCAGAGGCAGGGGATCTTGGAGAGCGCAGCTGCCTAAGCCCTCCTGGGCGTCTAACGGGGGTTTGCAAGTGATGCTTTGCAACAGTACTGAGAACCCTTGAGGAGAATGTCTTCCCATGCATGTTTATCCTGTCCGCTTTTACAGTGTTGAGGCACATGCCCATCCATGGCCAACAGAAGGCTGTCTGCTCATAGATAAACACATGTGCGAGGGAAGGCCATCTTGAAATAGGCTTCTTTCTTTTAGTCTCCTGTGGAAACAGGAGGGCTGCTGTGCCACAGCCTTCCGGGAGTTTCCCCACTTGCCCTCGGGCCCTCTGGGGTGCTTTGGCTCCCAAGCGGGAATCGGAGGAAGCTTACATGAGGAGGGCCCTGTGGCCCTTTAAGCTGGGGCCTTGCCTGCATCCCACATGCGGCCAAATAACTGTACTTCTCTGGAGCGCCTCCTTGAGATCATTGGTGCTCGCTTGCAAGAAAGTTGATCAGGAGCCTGCTGTGTGTGTTCTCCCGCTGAGGCTGTTCATCTGAGTGGGGTGAGCAGCCCTGCAACGGCCTTGCTGGCCCTTTCAGCTCTGCTGTGATCACTGCCGTCCTGCAGTGGAATCACAGGATCCTGAGGAAAGGCAGCGGTGTCTGCAGTCCTTCTGTTCCTACTTTCTGGGTTGCCGTTCAGAGCCATCCTCCGTGAGAGATGTGCCAGGCCTGCACCTTGTCAGGCTTGCCCTGGGAAGCAGCAGATCTCCCTTTCCCAAGGGTGGGGGGGGGGGCTGAAGGATGCTTTGGTGCATTCCCCCCAGGAGGGGCCCTGCCTCTCTGATGTTCCTGGGACGGCGGCCTTTCCCTTGGGCAGCGTTTTCTTACTGTTTTGTTTTTCGAATAGAATCCCAGAAACAGGACAATAGAAAGCACTAGGAACAGCGGCAACAGCACCGCCTGCTTCTCGCTCAGAACTGTTGGTGAGAGGCGTGGAGACGAGGCGGTGCCCGCTGGCCTGCCCCACACGTGTGGGCAGCCCGCCAGCCGGCAAAGCGATGGGGCGTCCCACCAAAGTGGTTGCCCCTCTCGCCGCGCGTCCCCTCTTTGGCTGTGCCGTGTGCAGGATGGCGCGCGCACGTTGGTCCCTCCGCAGGTGGCGCCGTGTGGCGCGCACACCCGGCCGTTCCCACCGCGCAGCCTGCGGAGGGAGGCGGGCGGGTGGGGCTGGGCGACGGGGGCGTGTGGGGCTGCCTCAGCCAGCCGGCTGCCTCCTGTGCGCACGGGGGGGGGGGTCATCGCAGTGGCCTTCTGCAGAAGCGCCTTCACTTGCCACGTGGTCTCTTTGATTAACATGCCTCTGATTTAAGACCTTTTCATGGGTCACAACGTCGTCCAAGCCATTTTGCCTGGGAGAAGGATGGGGCCGCTGCCGCTCCCTGGGCCTGCTGTGAGGGAGGCTGCTCCCCGGAGCGTAGGCCGTGTGCCAGGCGGCTGGCCCTTTTCCTCGCCTTGGGTGCTGCAGGCCGTGCCCGCTTGCTGCCAGCCCGTGCCCGCTACTCTCCCCATTTGCCCCTCAGAGGGCCTGCCTCTTCCTTCACCCACACAAGCGGAAGGTGGCGCCAGGGCTCCTTGGGCGAGCCGGGGGCCCTTGCGCTGCTCTTCCGTCGCTGGGCAGGGCCTTCCCGTTCTCAGGGCCCCGGTTGTGGTGCTTTGGCGCTTTGTCTGGTATGTTTCATGCGTCTGGAGTTGCCCTGCCTTTACTGACTAATAAAATAGATGTTGCTGTTTGGTGGCGGCAGCTTCACCACGGTCTGCTGTGCAGCTAATTGTAATGCTTTAAACTGATTCTTCAATGTAAGCAGCCTTGAACATTTTCAATTCAAAGGTGGGACGCTATTTTTGCTCGCGCTCGCAGGTCTTCCATGATCTTTGGCTAGTCTCATGGGGAGCAGATGCTGACTGGGAAGCTGGCTGTTCCCTTGGGGTGCGAGGGACTCGGGACATTTGCAAAGGCAGGAGGGGGAAGCCATCGGTCCCTGGGCGCCCATCCCCACGTGCGCTTCAGAAGTGCCGCCGTGTGCTGGGCGGGAGCTCCTGGAGGCGGCCAGGGGTGCTGGGGACCGGCATTAGCTGCTGGCCTCCTGGCTGCTCCTGAGCCAGCCTTTCTCGTGGGGAAGAGCCAGTTCCTGTGTGGCATAACCGCTCTGTCTAACCTCTGTCCTTTTGTCCTCTTTCCATGCAGCGTGGAGTGAAACCTAAAAAGGTGGTGGCTGTTTTTTCTTCTGGCAGAACCCCTCTTGCGCATGAGTCTGCTCTGAAAGCGGCGGGGCTCGTGGCTGCGGGGCCCTCGTGACATGCGCACACGCATGTGTCCCCCTTGCATGTGTGTTCCCTTCTCTGGCGCCACAGCACATCCCGAGGCGCTGGGCCTCCCACCGGCCAGAAAGCCGGGGGCTCTGCTTGGGCTGCGGGGCGCTGCTCTGAGGGCGCGTCCTGAGCCGGCCACGGGAGCGGTGGGCCGCCGCGCCAGCACCATGAGGGAGCGTTTTGGTCTTGCTCCCGGTGGCTTCTGGGAGCGCGCACAGGAGGGCTGGAGCACAGCCCGGCAGCCGTGCCCCGGCTCAGCGGGCCGGTGGAGCGTGGACTGGCCAGCACAGGGCTCGGCAAGCCTCCTTCACACAGCCACGCCGGGCACGGAGAAGCCGCAGCCCCGCCTTGCTGGGCTCGCTCTCTTCCCCTCTCTCATGTGGGGGAAGAGAGAAGCCGGTGCAAGCACAAGCGGCCACGGCGCTCCTCTCGGGGCGCGGCTGTCCAGCGCCAGGTTTCCTTGCCCGGCCTTGCTGAACTGCAGAGGGGCCTTTCCATGCCAAGCAGGAACCTGCATCGAAGCCCCTCACCAAAAGCGGCACATGAAATCCCCGCATCGCCCCTGCTGTGCGGCAGGAGCAGGTTTGTGCCGGGGAGAGTCAGATTTGGAAAGGAGGAGCAGCACAGGCGGAGTGCTGCTCTCCCTCCACTGGTTGCCGCTGCAGCCAGGATGGGGGCCCACTGGCCGCCGCAGGGTGCTGGCCCGTGCCGGGAGTCCTGGCCGTGGCTGCCCTCCATCTCCGCCAGCCTCACCCGCTAGGCTTCCCGGGAGGAGGCCCCCTAGAGCTGGCGCACGCTCTGCAGCGGCTTGTGCGTTCTGGTGGGAATGACACTCGGGCGCAGAAGCCGCGGCACGGCGGCCCTTTGAGGAGCAGCAGTCCAGCGAGAGCGCCGTGCCCCGGCCCGACTGGTCGCGGCCCCTCCCCCCACCCCCCACTGCATGCGTCTGAGGCCACCTCACCTGCAT